TTAGGGGTAGGGTTGGTGTAGGGCAATAGAATATACGGTCTGTACAGTATAAAAACCATTACGCCTATGGAGAGTCCCCACTTTTCATCAATTTTTACCTGTGTGAGTGTGTGGGTGTGTGTGTGTGTGTGTGTGAGTGTGTGTGTGTGTGTGTGTGTGTGTGTGTGTGTGTGTGTGTGTGTGTGTGTATTTCACCAGTATAAGGCTCTATTTCTTATTTCTCCTGAAGGCTTGCCGGTCTTCTGATGTGTCTCGTCTCTCTGTCAATGTTCTGACCCAATTCCTTGTGAAAACACTGTTTCTAAATTACAGCACGAGTGTGTTGAAGAGCTCCTTAAGTCAGCTGTCCTCTTGTGTTTCTGCATATGTGTAGAGTCGCTGTAGACAAAGTGCTTCGTCAAGACTTTCAAACGCTGTGTCTTGTGAGCTGGAGGCAGAAGAAGAGAAAGCACAAGCTAAGAAGTGTCAGATTCAGTCAGCGTATAAACAATTCTACCTTACATATATAGTTTGAGAAGTGCCTGTTCTGTAGAATTACTCTATGAAAACTCAAGAAAATAGTTAAAGCTTTTGGCCTAACATGGGTAATAACAACAAGAATCTTTATTCTATTTTATACCTAAAGAAGGTAAAATGATAGGTACACTATATATAAGGCTATGAGCCAAATTTATTCAGCAACTTGACATCAAGATAAAAGTGAAAGTCTCTTAAAGTAAAGGCAACCACAGGGCTTGTTTTACTCATGAAATGAAAAACACTATTCAAGAGGGACTCGCAAAGAGTTTAAGACCACTGCAATAAATATATCAATACATGCATACACCAATTCATAAATGCTGCTTGCTCCAATTGCTTAATTACCTAAAATGAGCTAATTCAACAATTCTTAAACATTTTCTCACAACTTCATTTCATTTTGTACAATCCATTTAAATGTGTAAAATAGAAGTTTACATAATTCATCTGCAGTGGAACTACATTAATCATTTCTGCTGTGTTATTGTGGCAAGGCTGAAGCAGGACAGGAGGTTTCTAGTTCCCAGCATGCTTTGCATGGTGCTGAATGGAGAGAGTAAATGTTGAAATTAAGTGCTTTTTCATGTGTCTTTGAGAAAGATGAAAAAAAGGTGGTCTTTAAATGTTATAATGGAGTTTGTAATGTTAGCATTGTGCACGTTAAAAGCATTATATATGTTACTTTACTCGAAGCCTTTTACTTGTGCTTCCTGCTAAAACCATTATCATCATGGTAATAAAACGTAATAATTAGCTTGCTAGTGTGCACTACTACTTGCTTGCTATAGTAGTAAACTGCAAGAGATTCAATAGATTTACTTTGACATCTACTTTTAGTGTGTTAACTTAATTCTAGAGCTTACAGATCAAGTTAATCAAATTAATGACATTCATGTGTCACTCAGCTGTTTCCTAATGCTGCAAGAGGAATCAAAGCGGTGGGAAAATACAGTACAGTCAGAATAAACTCACTCCCATTCATTCAATCACAAGCACACAGAGCAGACGACACACAGAAGGTGTATTTCTCCTGAAAGCTCTCTGAAAGTCCCTTCATGTCTTCAGAGGGTATTAGCAGTGAAATTGTCCCTGACGCGTGTCAAGGTGGTGACACTTCTAATCTCATCCACCGTCTCATCTGTCACTCTCAGACAGACTGAAGCATTTTAGGCTTTATAATTAAAATGGTAATAAATCAGGGGATGAAAGAAGAGTTTATAAAACCTCATTCTTGAAAAATAATCCATTATCTTTCATTCTCCAAACGTCCAAAATCTCATTCTTCCAGCATTAGTGCCGTTTGCCATTTGTCTGCTAAATGAATACATTCGCACGAGCAGCTTGTCGTTCTAACATCACACAGTAATCTGTGTTCTTGTGAGGCGATGTTCAGACGTGAGTATATCTGCTCACACCACATGCCCACAAGAGAACGCTTTACTGCACAACTGTAACGGAGAAGTGCAGTACAATCCACTTCACAATGAGGAAATTAAACAAGGACTTTTAATAAACAAGGGAAATAGAGCAGCACACTACACAGAACAAACAGAGCTCAGGAAACACCGGGCTTAAATAACAAGGAGAACTAATGATATAATTAACAGAACAGCTGAACAGGATCAGAAGCTGAGTGAGCAAACTAGGAAACCCAGTTAAATCATGACCGGGAGACTAAATTAAAACACAGACACGTGACAACAACATATGTGCGGAACTGAGAACTGAGACTCCCATCAACGCAGCACTAATCCATCACAGTGTATACTGTATATACTGTATTGTTCCTGCATGGCTAAAGCATCACAAAAAACCTCTGAGTCAAGTACGATCTTTCTTAGTCACAGGTGTTGTCAAGGCAACTTGGCCTCAGCTGTGGTCATAATTTTCTAGCTTTGTGTCTTTCTTGAGTGACTTAGCATTTGGGTTACTGGCAGGACTGGAAGCGCTATTTAAAGACAAAGCCAAACTAACATTACCTCATCTTTGGAAACTCTAGCTATTTTAGTTCCACAGAGTCACCACATAGAGTACATACCTGCCTGAGTGCTTACTAATGACATATAGTGTTGATGATAGGGTGTGTGTGTGTGTGTGTGTGTGTGTGTGAGTGTGAGTGTGAGTGTGTGTGTGTGTGTGAGTGTGCGTGTGTGTGTGTGTGTGAGTGTGCGTGTGTGTGTGTGTGTGAGTGTGCGTGTGTGTGTGTGTGTGAGTGTGCGTGTGTGTGTGTGTGTGAGTGTGCGTGTGTGTGTGTGTGTGAGTGTGCGTGTGTGTGTGTGTGTGAGTGTGCGTGTGTGTGTGTGTGTGAGTGTGCGTGTGTGTGTGTGTGTGAGTGTGCGTGTGTGTGTGTGTGTGAGTGTGCGTGTGTGTGTGTGTGTGAGTGTGCGTGTGTGTGTGTGTGTGAGTGTGCGTGTGTGTGTGTGTGTGAGTGTGCGTGTGTGTGTGTGTGTGAGTGTGCGTGTGTGTGTGTGTGTGAGTGTGCGTGTGTGTGTGTGTGTGAGTGTGCGTGTGTGTGTGTGTGTGAGTGTGCGTGTGTGTG